GCTTTTAGTACATGGTTGTGGTTTTAGACACTATGGAAGTGTTAAAGTGTGAAAATGGTATTGTTTTAGTCCTAAACATTCAAGTTTGTGATATGATAAAATTAGCTAGTTGACTGAAAAAGCTTTCTATAAATATCTAGATCACCTTAGTTGAATGTTAAATAAATTAAGATGCACTAGAAGTTTGCCCTTAAGTCCAATCCATGACAAGAAAGTGTTGTCATGAAAATTTTACAAAGTGCTACGACAGATGGCACCTTAACTACAGCTCACAATACAAAAGGTGTAAGCTACAATGCAAATAGGGTTCACTATGGTAGATGACTCTTGTGTCATCTGTCATGGTGAATGCATCGTTAGTTGTGGCAAATGTGTCATTTTTATGAAAATTTCTCTTATAACCCTATTTTGAAATATTCTTAAATCTAAATGGTTTCTCATACTTCCAACTGCTTTTAAATTCTTATGTTTATGTATTTTTCAATGGCAATGATTTAAAATGAATTTATACACCTTGGAAATCCTAACTTTCAAAGCTTTTGAATTTTATAAATATACTTTCAAACTTTTTTACCATAGTAGTCTTCTATTATGTGAGTTTAATCTTTTTTACTATGGTGGAACTTATTAATCTTGTTTAATTCTTTTCTACAATGGTAGGGTTTACTAAATAAATTTATTTATATAAGTCTAAGGGAGAATGACATTTAAGGCCCTCTCAAAGGAATTTATTGCAAAAAAGACTCATTAGTTTTGTATCAGATATTGTCCTATAAAAATACGTATATGTTGTTGTTAAAAGTTAAACCTTAACTTGTTTTTTAACAAGTTGTAGCTTTTAACAACAACTTATATGTATTTTCATAAGGTAAATTTGATACAAAATTGATGGGTATTTATTACGATATATTTTCTTGAGAGAGCCTTACATGTCATTCTCTCTAACTTCAATCATATTAACCATAATAGACTTTTAAATTAAGTCTTTTCCTTTTCTACTATGATTATCTCTTTTCAACTATAGTTGAGTCTTTCTACCAAGGTAAGATGATGTTATGAAAAGTCATCTTCCAATTATCATGGTAGAGTTGGTATTTGTTGTTAAGTGCATATGGTAAATTTAGGTGATTTTATATCAATATTTTGAGATCACTAATAGAAGAAATTGGGAAGAAGAAAATGAAGAAGAAACAATAGAGGATGGACAAGCACAAGCAATAGTAATAACCAACCATGTAGACTATGGCATGATAAAATTAGAATCAAAAACCCAAATCAAGAAATCCATATCATCTTAGAATAATAAACCCAAACCAAGTCTGAAAAAAAGGCAAAATTGAAGAAGCAACAAGGAGCCAAAATCCCTTTGAAACCATCAAACCCAAGCATCAAATCCAAATTTGGAAAATGCAAAGAAGGAAACCTAAAAAATTAAATATATATCTCTTGTCTAGTGAGAAGGAAACCTAGATTTGGAATTTCTAAAATGCATATAAGGAAATCTAAACTTAGAAGTCCCATCATGATTAATTTCTTTATGTTTGCTAAGAACCTTAGACATTCAAGGTAAGTCTTTGAGAGAAAAAAAACTAGTGAGAATCTCAAATATTTCCCTATAGTTTTGAAACTAGAGTAGAAAGGAATGGTGTCACCATTGAGGCAGTTGCCATAGGGGGATTTATTGGAAATTCCTCTAGGCATTGCTTTGAGTGTTAGAATTAGGTGATGAAGATGAGGAAGAAGGAAGGAGGTTTAGTTCAATTAGAGAAGAGGAGGAAGGAGAAGGAGATAAGGATAGGGAGGAGGAAGGAAAAGTGAAGAAGGCAAGGAGTTGGAGACTTCGAGATTAGACAAACAAACAAACTAACAGTCAATTAAGTCAAACCTAACAGCAAGCCGTATACTAAATTGAAAATTGTTAGGGTGACATATTACACCCAAAAAAAAAATAAGGATATGGGGTGTGCCTACATGAAAATTTTAGGAGTAGATTTATACTTTAATCCTTCGACTTCATGGCTTTTCAAAAATTTTATCCTTCTATCTAAATATATATTTTATTAGGTCACTTTGACTAACTTTTCTTAATTCTAATTGCCGTTACAAAAACTTCAATCAATGCTAAAATTATTGCATTAACTACAATAAAGGTATGGCAACAAAAAATCATGATGGTAGTAATAAAATATGAATAATTAATTGTAAAAATTAATTATAATAGAGGTTATAAATATTTTTTCATTGAGTATAGGTGTCCTTTTATTGGAGACAATTATATTCCAAACATGGTTAAGCATTAACTATGAATATAATCATTTTATTTTACCCTCTCTATTTTCATATGTAGTTTAAATTAAGAAATATAATTAATATGTTAAAATCCCTTTAAATTTTCTTATATGCCCTTAATTTATTTCATTTATTCTCTCCGTAATTATCTCCCTCATTCCTTAATTAAAATTACTAGAGGGTTTAATAGAAAAAAAACATATCTGGAACTTCTAAAATAACAAATAAATAGATACAAAAATTTTGTTCATTGACAATAAAAAAAAAGTAAATTATTACCTATAGTTTAAATTGTAAGACATTTTTTGCTAGCTAATTAAGCTTGGTCTAAAATGTAGGATATTTAGTAATTTTTTTAAAGAATTAAATTTATCCTTGTATTATTAATTAATATGAGCATGAGAAATATAATCTAACTATACATATACTTTTAATCCTCTAACTTTATATAAAGTTTTATTTTAGTCTTTTAATTTTAAAAAATATCTTTTTAATTCTTTAATTTTAATACTGTTATTTTCAAATAATTATATTTTATGTCATTCATTTTTATTTTAAAAAATTTAAATTTAATATGTCAAAATTTAAAATATTTTGTTAATACTTTAAAGTTAAATGTAGAAATTTTTTGTGAAGAAACAAGGTTAAATGACTAAAAAATATCTTATAAAAATAAAAATTTAAAATAAAACTTTGTGTAAAGTTAAAAAATCAAATATATACTTTAATGTAATAATAAAAAGGTCAAGTGCAAAAAAAGGAAGACATGCCATTTTTATGAAAATTATGTAAAGAGAAAATAGAACTTTTGATCCCTGATCTTTTAACTTGGTGTGTTATTAGTCTTTATACTTTTATTTTATTATTTCAAGTCTCTTAAATGTTATTTATTTGTAGTTTTAGTTTCTGTGTTTTTAAATATGATCATACAAATTTAACAGTGATTAACATGTGCATAAACTCTATTATTTCTTATATTGAATTGCTAAAATTATGATGAGTTGTATAAAAAATGAGTGGAAGATCAAAAAAAAAAATCGAACATCAAATCAAAATCATTAAATGCGCAATGGATGAAGCTTCAAAAAGAAGAAACATACAACTAAGATAGACAAATAAAAAGATTAGTAGCAATTTTGTTCATACAATTTCCAACTCATCATAATTTTTTAACTCGTCAACAAAATTAAATAGGCTTAAGGTGTAATTTTGCTCTTAAATTATTCTCAGAGGAATAATGTTGCCCTTAAACTAATTAAATTGAAGCAATATTGCCCCTAACATTTAAATGTTTGTTATTGTAGCTAGCAAAACTTACTTTTCATGAGTTAATATGCCATTTTGCTATTGAACTATTATCAAAGGAGCAATGTTGTCCTCACCATTTAAAAATCATAAAATTAAATAAAAATAAAAATATAATAATATTAAATAAAATAATATTAATTGTAAATATAAAATAAATATAAGAATAATATAAATTATAATTTTATAACTTATTAAGTATAAGTAGATTTTGATTAAATTAGATATGAGTAAACTCAAATGTATCTGCATTTGCACCTATAACTATCAACATCTTTATTAAAAAATGGTCTCAAATTATATTTTATATATGTGAATTATTCAAGAATAAAGTTAGCTTTTAATATGATCTAATTTTTAAATTTTTCTATTTTAAAAATTTTTAAGCTTTTTTACTATTATGTTTTTGAAACTGCCCAGTTTTTTGAAAATAACTCTAATTTTTAATTCAACTTTTGTGTTTCAGCTTAATAGCAGCTTAACTCTTATTTCCAACTCAATCATGAAAACAGTTTTTTGGTCCAAATGAATTTGTTAACGACGGCTCCGGTCAATAGTTATAGATACAAATGTAAATAATTTTGAGTCTACTCATTTTTAATTTAACTAAAACTCACTTATATTTGATAAATTATAAAATTATAATTTATAATAATATTAATTTATGACATTTTATTAACATACTATAAATTTTTTTCTTATATTTATTTTATATAAATTTAATATTATTATAATTTTATATTTATATATAAGTTTAATATTATTTATGTAATATTATTATAATTTTATTTTATAATTTTTAAATAGTGAGAGTAGCATTGCTCCTTTAAGAATAGTTTAGGGATAAAATTTCACTTTAACTCATAAAAAGTGAGTCCCACTAACTACAATAATAGATGTTTAAAATGACAAGAGAAACATTGTTTTGATTTAATTAGTTTAGAGGCAACATTGTTCTTTCAAAAATAATTTAAGGATAAAATTATACCTTAACCCGATTAAATAATAATATGAACACATCAACAATTTTAACTCTGCTAATAATAATGAGGACTAATACTGCACACGTTTGAAATTTAAAGGGTTTAGAACAAAGAAATAAAAGTATAAAAACTAATATCAAATCTCATTAAAAATATAAAGACTAACAGTTATATTTTTTCTTATATAAAATATGACTGGAAGTGTCTAACAATGTGGACATGAACAATGGATGGAGCATTTTCATAAGAATTGTTATTGCATTAATTTGAACCATTAAATAATTTCCTACTCATAGTCATTAAATAGAATTTGGCCAATCAAGTGAGGAGTGGTTGGTGGACACAGCATCCAAAAAGAACTATATATACAATGCTTGTCTTTGTTGGTCTTAATATCTGAACAAGCTAAGAAGCTAGGCAACAATGGTGAATGAAGGGGGTCATCGGAGTCAGGAAGAGGGGCAGAAGAAGAAGACGGCGGTGGTTGAAGACAAGAAAGCCAGAATCGTGACGTTCTCAAAGCGTCGTTCTGCACTTTTCAAGAAAGCCAGCGAGCTTTCTGCGATGTGCGGTGCAGAGGTCGCCATCATCACCTTCTCGCCGTCCGGCAAACCCTACGCCTTCGGAAGCCCAAGCGTAGAGAAAATCATCAACAAGTACACTGCCGACAATAACATCACTGTTCCTCCACCTACTCTTACTGTTTCTGCTCAGTCTAGCAGATTGGCTCAGCTTTACAAGGAATATGCTGAGTTGCAGGCTGAGCTTGAAGCTGAGGAAAGGAGAGGAGAAGAACTGAGACGAAGGAGGCCTCGTGATTACCCAGACATTAGCAAGATGAACTGCGAGGAACTGGCAGAGTACAAGGCGAAGCTGGAGGATTTCAAGCGCCGTATGGAGGAGCACTTTGAGAATCTGAACAAAAATAACGCAGTTTGATCGATGGCTTTTGGCCAGATCAGTTTCAGTGTTTGAGTTGTCGTTTTGCTTGTTATGTCTGATCTGATCTGGCCCTTTGAGGTCCATGCTTAAGTTTGCTGTTTGCTTCTCAAAATAATCTCTTGTACTTGCAAAAGATGTGCGCAAGAGACTGGAAATGAATAAAATAATTCCGCTTTCAAAGTTTTAACTAGTTCTTCCATTTGGTAAATCTGGTAATTCAAGCCAAGTATAATGAGCTAACTCTAATAAATTAGTGAAAATCTTAAAACAAAGTTTGAGAGTTTAGGAATCTAACTTATAGCTTATTCAAGCTGCCCAAATGAGTCAAAAAAATTCAAGCGAACCCCGTTTAGTTTCAAAGTTTGCCTGAATATCCACATTTTTTATTATTAACAAATGAAATTATAATCTTCTTAGAAAGTACTCGTCTAATTGGGATTGAACCTGGCCAAACCAAAATATATATATATTATATCTTAAACTATTATATGAAAAATATAAACATTCATAATGGATTTTAAAAATATGAGGATAAAGTATAAAAAATGGCATTAATTGTTAACAAGCGATGAACTGGGCAGTTTCATCCATTTAGGATTATACCATGGCAATAAATACTCCATTTGCTTAGTATTATAAGCCACTCTCCTTCCCTCCCAAGTTATGCTTTTTTAATATTATTATTTTCATTATATTTTTTTATTTTTAATATTCTTTCACAAATAGTGTATTAAATGGAGCACATTTTTAAAAATTTATATTTGTATTTTTAAAAAATATGACAGTAAAGTGTATTTAATAAAATTTATTAATATACATGATTTAATCTAAAAGTGTTTTATAAATTGGGATAAAAAAAGTAATTTTAATAGAATTGCACTGTTAATGAATTAGTTAATTGCTTTCAAAATTACGCCTTGTTTTAAGTTTTTCCTTATTTATAGTGTATATTAATTAAAAAATATTATCAATTACACTCCCTCACTAAGGACCTATGAGAAAAATGTCTTATGGTATTGAAATTAGGGAGTTATCTGTTAGAGAGAGAAAGTAGGGCCCACATGACCGTTTTTCAGTCTTACAAATACGTTCATTTGGGTCTCTAACTAACATATAAAAACATATTTCAGGAGTATATGAATAAACAGATCATGTTCATGTCTAATTTTATTTCATACTAATTTTCATTCTTCACTTTGTTTCTCAAATTAATAGACTCTCATTTTCCTTTTTTAGTTTTTTTTTGGTAGTATTCCTTTTAGCCGTTTGGTAAGAACAGAATAGAGCACCAAAACGAGACATCAATCTGGGCTATATTTTGTTTGGCCCATCCAAACTGAACAAATGCGGCCCGTTTAGATGTTTGGAGAGATTAGAAAGAAGAAAAAACCATAAAATTCTTTTATATATTTTTATAATTAATATTTCATAATTTTTTTCTCGCAATTCTAACAATTAAGGGAGAAATTGGTTCCATCAAGAATATTAGATAAAATTGGAACAATTATACACCATCCAAATTTTACTGAAAACAATATGCTTGTAAAGACCTAAAGATAAATATAGGCTTAACGAAATCCTATTTACATAGCTTAAGAAAGAACAAAACATAGAGTAGAAATTTCTTACATTGACTTTTTTCCTTTCATAAATGGCTTTTTTTTGACCATCCACTTTAAATGCAATTTCAGACTATAATTGGGATTTCAGTATGTAAAACAATATGTATAACACATGTTTTTAAAAAAATTTATTAAGGCTTTAACTGTCATTAATTCAATATTTTAGTATTTAACTATATCAGTTTCTTTATTGACTTTCTTTTTAGGTAAACGGCATTTCATTGACCATTCACTTCCGATTTTACATGCTTATGCTTTGCCAAAGGCCTTCAAAAGAACACATAGCATATAGGAGGCTTATAATCATATATCAGCCGCTGTTTTCACTCTTGAACACATTGTACAATATAACAAGTAATTTACACAAACAATTAAAGGTTTTTCTAAAATATAGTGAATAGGAGAATCTACAAAAGCTCAAAAGATTATTTATTATAATCATGATTATTTATCTCTTAAATATATTGTGAGTTAGCATTTGTGGGCCAAGAAGAGCTTTTGCATAAGCAGCCGGAAGAGACCAGAGCTTCTTGGCTTTGCCAACATAAGCCCTTTTGGTGAAATTATTGTAACCATTGGCTTCAATCTCATCTAATATCTGTTTGTATATTAATAATGATGCCCACACTGGCCATCTACTTGCTGAGTCAAGTTCTGCTACTCCTTTCTCTGCCTCATCAAAAAACATCCGAGCTCTCTTTATCTGTCCCTTCATGAAATTCCGCCACTTGTCCGTCACTCGGCCTTCCAAAATGTCATTGTCTGATAGGCCCGCTCGTGCCAGCTCATCTTGTGGCAGGTATATTCTTCCTCTCCTAGCACTGTATTTAAGTGATAATAAATTAATTTCATATATATATTGGTGTTTACAATTATGTAATAAGGATTTGAATCTGATGAGTGGCCTAAATTCACTCACTCAATAAGTGTCTCAGTTACAATTATTAAATTTTATCAATAATTGAAAATTATCAAAATAAATTTCTCTCCAAAAATTTGAAACATTTCTTGCAATCAAAGCATTCCACACATACACTTTCCCCTCTAAAAATCTTGGATTGGTACTTTTTGAGACATTTATTGAATGAGTGAATTTATGCCACTCAACGAATCCAAATCCATGTAATGAAGTTTTGGGGTGTTTGCTGTCTTCTTTTTTGCCCCCAGTAATATCCAAAATCTCAACCCTTCATTTGAAAGAGTTAGTTGAAATTTGTTTGACCATTAGCCTAAATGAAGGGCTGAGAATTTTGAATTAGATCACAGGCAACAAAAAAGCCAACAGACAACCCAGATCTGAGTGTTAAGAAGCTTACTCTTCTCCAACGTCTCTGAGGATGTTGGTGAGCTGATTTGCGATGCCAAGGGCCAAAGCAGCATTGTAAACAGCCTCAGTGGAAGCCTTTGAGTCTGGAGATATGCCCATAACTGGTACGCTCATAAGCCCCACTGTGCCAGCAACGTAGTAGCAGTACAGATACAACTCGTCAAAGTTGTTGTATCTTGACTTCCTCAAGTCTAGCCTCATCCCCTCTATCATGTCCTTGAATGGCTGCCATTAATTCAAACACTACTCTCATTAATACACACACAGAGACTTGTTGAGATTAAAGTATGAGTGAAAATCCAACACACACACTAATTATATTTATTAATTAAGTTCAATGTGTAAGATATAAGATTCAGTATACGCCCCACTGTAATGTCACTAAATTTAGATTCTATAAAATGACTTTATTTAAAGAAGTAGAGAAGAGAGATAGCTAGATACATAGTAGCAAGACCTATACTCCTTTGAATTTTATTTATAAGTCATTTTTATTTAAAAATTTAATAAGTTTTTAACTTTATCCTTATTAAATATATATATATATTTAAAAATAAATATCTAGTATTTAATGTTAACCTTTTCAATTTTAATAGGAATAAAAAAGTAAAGATGAATGCAAATTATTAAAATTCTCCATACATAAAACTAAAATAAATATTCTTTGTTCTATAAATAGGACAAGGAAAGTATGTGATGAATGAGATCCACTTTATTTATTTAATTAATCACTCTATTATTATTGATATGAACAACTATATTAGAGGTAGCCAGCACCTTTGGTTGAGCCCATTTGAAGTAAAAGGCCCACTTATATAAGTGAAAAGGACTTAAAGACATGAAAGAATTCAAGTTGAAACTCACTTTTATATATATATATATATATATATATATTCTTTCAAAATTTAATAAAGAATAAACATTAAATCTCTAAGCTCATAAGCTATATCTGAAGCTAGCGAGCTTCAAAATGAACCTTAACAACTGAAAAATACAAGACACACACATATGTATGTCCATATATGTACCTGAATATCAACTGGGAATCTGGAGACAGTATCGGAGAGGGCAGCATCATACATATCATAAGGACGACCCGCAAAAACATCATTTAGCCTCTGCTCCCATCTGTCCAAGGCTTTTGGAGTGATGTGGGGAGCGTTTGGCCCATCCACCAGTTCGTCTGTTCTTCTGCACCACACTGCAATTTTCCCCACACTTATTTATATATTCATTCATATTCTTGTGATCCACCACCACCATGGACCACTATTCATTCATTGCACACAAGTTTTATATTACATACAGCCAACTTGTTTGAGAGCAACCATACATACCATAAATTGCCCATATCGCCTTTCTTCTCTCCGCTGTCATCAATTGCGTTCCTGCAATTGGCATGTGAATACGACAAGTCAGCTCATGCACCCACAATAACATCCGCTAAATGCCTTCTTTTATTATAATTTGGGGGAAATTATATTAATCATCTACTCCTTATAATTTTAACTTAATTATAATTCCATTTTTAAATTTTGACTCGATATAACTTAGTCTCTATAATTTAACTTAATTATAATTTGGTCCTTCAACTTTGATTTGACATAACCCAATCCTTATAGTTTTTAACAATTTAAAATATTAATCCCTAAGTTCAAAAAATTAATTTAATCCTTATAATTTTATTTTTTAAAATATAAGGATCCATATTTTAAATAGTTAAAACCATATGAATTGAATTGTATTGAAAAAAATATACAGATTAAGTTATAATAATTAAGCCAAAACTATAGGTGATTGAATTACATTGAATTAAAATTTAAAGGATTGAGTTATAACTGGTTGAAATTGTAGAAATTGAATCATTAATTTTCTTCTTTTTGAATGACTAGACTATAAAAGTTCTTCCAGACAACTTGCATTAACCTGAGGAGGAGTTTAGGTCATCACCTATAGTTCGTGACATGATAAAGTTCTTGTAGAATCTGAAGAGAGAAGAGGGAAAAGATTGAATGGGAGCAAATTAAAAAGAGGAACTTCCAGTCTCTCTTCCAACCCCACAAGAACTCGACACTCAATAAACCAATTAAACTTTCTTTGGAAATCAGGGATCCATGAAAATGAGAAGAAGATGTATAAGAGAAGCAGTAGTTGCGTGTGTGTGTGTGTAGAGAGAGAGAGAGAGAGAGAGAGACGTACCGAGGTAAAAGGTCTTGGCATACTCCGCACAAACTTCGCCACAGCGATCATAAGCATCATTTAACAGATCTCCATTAGTGAGATCAGCTTCAGTGTAATCATCCTTGTACAAATGATCATCTAGGGTTTTCCTCTGCTGCTGCTTCACCAGAGCTGCTTGCTTCAGCACAACCTCGTACACCCTCTCCTCGGACGATCTCGAAGGGTCTGCAAATACACTCGAAAACGCAGAAACCACGCTTCTCTGCGAAAATCTCCCACTGCCACTTCTAACTGTTCCTCCCAACAGAGAGTTAATGGCGTTCTCTTTGGGCCCACAAGTCACCCAAAGAAGAACACCGGACATCTCTCTCTAGAGATCAATATATGAAACCTTGACAATTAGGTTATGATCTGCTTCTAGCTTTCTGGTTTTTTGGAGATGATGAAGGTGGAAGAATGGAATGTGAAGGAAGAGAGAGAGAAAATATGAGTGGCCTTAAAAGTCGTATGTGCGTATACTGCTCTAATAGTTGCACATGTGTGTGTCTATGAGAAGATAGGGAGAGAATTGTGATTGGAAGGTTATATATGAAAAGACATCTCTGTGAGGCATATGCTTTGGTCTACCTTGTAAACGTATGGACGGTGAGCTTACAGTAATCTACAGAATGATCACTTTCTCTATCTTTGTTCTCTCTCTCTCTCTCTGTAGCTCGTGTGTAATTTTATTTGGGGCAGAATCTGCTTTTTGCTTTTTGTTTCTTTGATGATGTAATGGCCACAATTTTGTGTGATGCAGTTCATACTCCAATATTTGTTGTTTTGCTTTGGACAGAGTTGGAGTTGAATGAGGGATTTGTCGTCTTCATATTGTTGTGATGGTGTTCGCTTTTGCACCCCATATATGGGGTACCATCGAAAGGAACAAATTTGGCTCTTCTTGATCATCTTTTTAATATATATGTGTGTGTATACATATGAAAAGGTTAAAGTGTGCATGTATGATTGATATTTTTGTTTTTTAATCGAAAAAAAAAATTTATTATTTTTTTAATTAATTTTTCTTCAAAGTTTCTGTTAGCATCAATTAAAATTACATTAATTTCATAGTTAGTATCTAATCATGACTTGATTATGATTGTCTTTAATAAAAAAATACATATGCACAATAAAAATTTGCCAATTATTTCTGAAACAAGGTATTGAAAATTAGGCCACTCATTATTAGTTAAAACATTTGTTCAAGGGTTAACGAGTAAAATCATAGAAATGGATTATAGTCAAATTCATCATGAACAAAACTTTTTATAGAATTAGTCAAATGACTAATTCAATAATTTACCAACTTAATCGATTGGATTGACCCAGTTTTAATACGATATTCCTCTGGTCCTATTTATAAGGCAAAGGGAGAAGAAAATTATTGAACCAATCTTTATATGTTTTGCCTTTATTAAATTGTTTAAATAAAAATATCAATAATGATATTTAAAAATATTTATTAGGGGTAAAGGTGAAAACTAGTTAAACTTTAAGATAAATTTAATGAGATTTAAGGTTTTTTTTAGTTTCAATGAAATATACTAAAATTGACTAATAAATAGGATCATAAGGAGTGTATGCTTAGAATAAAATACTCGATCACACACATAATTAATCAAATTGGCTGGATTCAATGTATGGGATCCAATTTAGTTTAAAAAGAAAACTAGAACTTTCACACACTCATACTCTCTCCATCTTTATATAAAATAAGTCTTCTAGAACATCTTTTTGTCTCTAAATATAAGAAGTTGTTCATATATTTTTTTATGAATGGATCATTATATTTTTATTAAATTGAAAAAAAAAATAATTTTATTAATTTACTTTAAAAAAAGATATTCATTTTTTTATTTACAACAATTAAAAGCAAAATTAAAATATTATTATACTTTTAATTAGATAACTAATTTTTATTAATTTGTGTGATTGAATTAAAAATATTTTATATATAAAGACGTATCATATATCCCATGCATTTATGATGTCCTTTGAGAAGGTTGAGGCTAGGAATGGTGGGAATCTCCCCTCTATTGAGGAATCATGTGGGCGCCAATAAGTCAATATTTTCTCGCTGGAGAATTCATTCTGCAGCCAATATTCACGTGTCTGTAAAACAATGCAAGTAGAATATTAATGAAATTAACGTACGAGAAAAGCATGAATTTGTTATAAATTTATTATATACCGACACAAATAAATAAAATTAGTTAGGCTAATTAAATTGAAGTTAAAATGAGGGTAGTGTGTCTTCAGCGGAATTTACTCCGTATGCTATCAAATGATCAGGGGTGGAGTATATTAATTGATAATGGTACTTCTCTTATAATATTTTGTTTGATTTTTCATGTTTTACCTTCAAAACAGTCCTACGCAACAATAAAATTAGTTAATTAGGCTAACTAAATTGAAGTTAAATGTCCGCAGAATCTACCTCTTAAACTATTAAAAAAAAATGAAGAGCAGATTATATTGATAATGTTACTTCTCCTATAATTTTTATTTTATTTTTTTATCATGTTTTACCTTTAAAACAATATACTATGCAAGACTTAAAAGGCATTAAAATATTGAAATAAGTGAAAGGTAAATTTGATAAAATATATCATATTTGTACATATTTTTTTTATCTATATGCAATAACTTTAAATCACAAATGTAATGAAATAGAGGGATTATCATAAAATATGTAATCCATAATATATAAGGGATAATGTAATGTCTTTAACTGTTGGAATTTTCTTTTTCCATCAACTGTTGGAAATTTTTATCTCTAATCCTATTATCAACCCGTTTTTTATGAAATTGTAAAAAAGAAAAAGAAGTGGATATGAATACTTTTAGTAAGAGCAAAATTGGAATCTTTGAATGTCCATTTACCCCTCCTTCTCAATTTACAAGACATTTAAAATTAAATTATGCTTTTTTTAAAAAAATAAAATTATACATACCAATAAATTTTATTAAATACATCTTACAATCTTGTTTATTCAAAATGAAATGATAATTTTTTAAAAATACTTTTCATTTAATATAACATTATTTATGAAACATTCAATAAGAAAGTGAAAATATAATAATTAAGAGGGAAGAGTACAATATTAAAACAAGTGTAATTAGTAAAATATTATTTTTGTCTAAGTATCATATCTTCTACTCCCTAATCCCTATCACAGGACACCTTTTAAAAGATTTTTTTGGTCTTTAAAATAAGACATTTGGTGTTATATTAATTATGTTATTATAATATCATTCCTATTTGAAATTTATTCATTTAGATAAGAATAAAATTAAAAATTTATTCTATTTTTAAAATTAAAATTAATAATTTAATCACCTTCTCTTTGATTTTAATTAAACTTTTAATAAAGTATTAAAGATGTCTTATCATAAACAAATGAAAGGAGTATCTTTTAGATACCAAACCACCTCTGAAAACATTTTATAAATTAGAAGACGGAGTAACTTTTAAAATTGTGAGGGGAGCAGTGTACGATGTGTCCCGTCGAGAGGGTAGCTATATACATTCATTGTGCAAGAGAGAGGAGGGAGATGTCTCTAACGCACTTTATGAATGTCCCCATCCACCTTTGTCGCCTCTTCTCTTCCACATTATGGAAGTGGACGACAAGGCCGTATAAATTGTTAGGCTAATGGGGCGATCGTTTTAAACTTCAAAAAATATGTATCTATACTTTATATAATTAGTCATTGTTTTTTTGTTAAATATTAATGTTAATTATATATTTTAATTTGAACATGGGAGTTTTGTTTAACAACAAAAATTACCAATTTTGATCTTAAATATCAGCCATATCATGTGTTTTTTATTCTTTTACTCTTCATTTAAAATTATGATTGTTTTAACTTTTTTTATAGGATTTGAAGTGGCAAAAATGTTAAATAGAAAATTTGAATTTGGTTTTAATAAATTAAAAAATCATATAAAAATAGATGAATGATAATATATTACGCTTCTAAAATAATTTTGTTTTAGACATCAAAATTCCTTCACACGGCTCTAGTAGACAATTAGGTAATTAGCACAGCCTCCTTCAGCCTTTTGCTCACCCTAACGGCTGCTATTGCTTTCACGCAAATTCTACAATTCCATTGGTCCATATTCATGTCACCAAAATTTGGGTTATCATTTTAGATACAAATAGGTGGTCTATATTCATTTCATGTCACCAACAAAATAAAAAGTGGTCTCTATTCACTTCATGCGTGCTATTGCTTTTTCAAAACTTTACACTCTTGAATACATATTTCTCCTCCCTTCCTTTCCCTTCCCATCCCCCACCACATGTGCATTAAGGGTTACACAGAGAAAGAGAGTGGCATGGAAATGCCCAATGTGTCTTTCCTTTTTGGGAGAATCACATTCAAAAATCATTTAAAAAAATTATTCACAATACAAAATGGATTATTATTATTAGTCCTTATTTATGAATAATTTATTTGATTGATTCTTGAATGTGATCTCTCTTCTTTCTTTGAGTAGTCTCCCCACATTGTAAATTTGACTTACATAAATAAATCTCTTTTAGAAATAATATTGGAAATCGAGTCACATACTTGACTAAGTGAAATGATACTTATGATTGATCTGACCATATTTTAACTATAATTTTAATCATTAATCCTTAAATTAGTGTTTTAACTAATTCAATAACCGATCTACTTTTTAATACTTCAAATTAATCCTAAGAATTAAAAGATTATATGGAGGGCGCCTCATTAACGATTAAATTTGACTATGAGAAGGCATCATTGCAAAAGAGAAGGAAATAACTTCAACTTGATTCTCATGATTGTTGACTAAAGGCGTCAATTAGGGCTAGCCCTTTAAGGGCCAAAGCCTAAATGGACTGACTCTTTTAAATCCAATTGCTCTATTTTTAGTAACTCGACCCTGGCCCTTAAGGTTGAAGGGCCTCAGCCCTAATTATTTTTTTAATTTTTTAATTTAAAAATTTTAAAAAAATATATTTAAAATTTTAATAAAGTTATTACACATCACATTAAGTCTAGAAAAATAAAATAAAATTAATTGACACAACAAAAAATTTAAGTCTAATAAAAAATAACATCCCAAAATCAACTCCGACATCAATTACATGTTGGTAGCATCATTAGCTAAATTTTGATGATTTTTATCATCATCAATGTCAATATGATTTGATCCTTCACCATGTGGATCCTCATCTATAGCAAATATGTTAAGCTTTTCATATCTTCCTTCTTTATCCTCATTATTTGCAATAAATTATAAATCAAAATCATAATTTCAAGGTATTTAAAGAATATAAAAATATTTAAAGTAAGGAAATAATAATGTGCGTGTCTACTGTCTAGATTAGAGAGTAAGTGCTAAGTTTGAGCGATATGATATCTTCTTTTTATTTATTTTTTATGTTATTTTTTCAAAAAAAAATATATTAGAACTTAAAAGGGTTGGCCTAGAATTTTGAACTAGCCCTTTTAAGCTTGATTTACCTTTTTGAAGATTAAAATAGTGGCCCGACTATTAATTTTTTTAAGTTTAAAAGGGTTGGTCATACGGGCTCGACCCTAATTAATGGCTCTATTTTTGACCTTAAGAATGGCCAAAAAAGTCTTATTACCCTTCATGGTTCTTCATGAAGCCTATAACACTGAGTGAACCCCTCAATGTGCCTCCATGTGGGCCTTGAGAAACTACTTGTTGGGCTTATAACATTGT